CCCCCCCCACCACCACACACACACACACACACACACTCACACACACACACATGTGACTGTACCATATTACAATTTGGTAATAGATAATATAGCATATATATCAAAACTAGATTACACTTCACCATACAGATCTTTCGTCCTTCTAAGACTCATCAGAGATACTAGGGGACAAACAGTTGGAAATCCAAATTAAATTACTGTTGAAACACAATCGGGAGCTGTAGGTGCGTAAAACCTTTTTGTTAACGATTTTCAAAATTTAGAAGAGTACTGGTAAATTTAAAATAGAATACTTAGTAAAATGTGTATAGAATTTGAACCGTGCCACTAGCTAACCATCCTCGATATCCAGGGGTTACACTTACTTTCGCTCTCTGCACCCCTGGGATATGTCATAGCAAAATCGAAGGCTCAGTGTGCAGCACCTTGTGGACGAGACGTGAATGCTAGTTTGAAGGCACGCGGCTAGCCATTTGATTGGTCTCAGCTAAACTTAAATTGTATCTTGAAATAAGAACGTAACACATACCCACACATACTCACACTAACACATATGTAACTACAACTCGAAAATTGGTAAAAGATACAGTATGCCAAAATGAATTACACCGCATCTTACATCTTTTAGTCTTTCTAGGACTCATCGGTGATGCTAAGGGCCAATGAATGGGTGATCGGTTGGCACAGTGGATAACGCACTCGCCTTTCACATCTATCTGTCAAAATGTCTAAGTCTGGTGTCAGGGCCAGAAGAAACTCGGGCTACCGATCGGACGTGAAAAAGCATGGGGTCACCCGCCCGACCATGTGGGTTTTCCCCGGGTACTCACGTTTCCTCCCACATTAAGACCCCCGCTCGCAAACATCCGGGCTAACAAGAGTGATCAATATAAGTTGAAAAAACTTGTTTCATAATCGTTGCAAAATAGATAAAGTTCATTTTTAAAGGACAAAACATTGGAAATCCAATTTGGTCTGAACTGCTGTATAGAAAACAGAAGGGGAGGTGTGCAAAACCCATTATTTAATGTGTGAATTAAATATTATTTCAAAATGTAAAGGAGTACTGGTTAATTTCAAACTAAATCATTAGTAAAGTGTGTATATTTCATATCCGATTGCTAGTAAGAATCTCTCCGTATACCTTGGATCCTTAAAATAAAATTCTCCAGTAGCCTTACACTATTGGTTACAAATGTAAATAGATGTAAAACAGTATACCTCGCCGAGGAAGTTGTTCTAGGGTCACCTAAATTCAGCTGTAATAGTACTAAATTAGCGTTTGCTTGAAGTTGAAAAGCACGGAAGCGATGGGATAACAGCTGTAATTACGAAATTACTGATGGTCATTTGTGTATGAAGTACGGTGGGAAATATGTTACTTCGACGGATTTCTGATGAAGGGTATTACTTGTGTCAATTGCATCCATCCCCTCGTTACATGTATCAAAATCGAAGCCCATACAATTCCATGCAGCTGGAGCGTCGTAACTATTACCTGATGGACAGAAAGGTGAAAGTATCCCTTCCAAGTTGTAATTCTGAAAAAGAATTAGCAAGCAAGTTCAGTGATTACTTTCTGAATAAAATCAGCTCAATCAGTAAAAATATTGCCGAAGTGAATTCCTCTGCTGACATTGACATCTCTGTCATGACTGCTGACATTGCATTTCATGGGGAACCATTGGCAAAGCTCTCACCAACAACCCAGGACGAGTTGCGCAACATTATCATGACTTCGCAATCGAAGTCCTGTGAGTTTGATCCACTGCCTACAGACCTATTAAAGCAATGTCTTGAAGCACTGCTTCCTTTGATTACCTCAATCATGAACAAATCATTGGCTGAGTCAAGGGTTCCATTATGTTTCAAGAAGGCACATGTCAGACCATTGTTAAAGAAGCCTGGAATGGACAAAGAGGAGTTGAAAAACTACCGCCCAGTTTCAAATCTGCATTTTCTGTCTAAGATCTTGGAGAAGGTTGTGTCCCGGCGTTTAGAGGTTTATCTCCATACAAACAGTCTCCATGACAACATGCAATCGGCCTACCACATGGGACCTCTACTGAGAAGGCCCTCCTACGTGTAAATAATGATATAACTTCTGCATTGGATAACAAATGCAGAGAGGTGCTTGTCATGCTGGACTTGTCAGCTGCATTTGACGTCGTCTGGAATACCCTTATGGAGTGACTGATACCGCACTATGCTGGATACAGTCTTGTCTGAGTGAACGACGACAGTGTGTTGCCATCGGATCTTCCACCTCACATGGCAAAGTACTAGATTTCGGGGTTCCTCAAGGGTCGGTGTAAGGACCACGAAAATATTGTATGGTCGTCGCCATAGCCTTCGCTATCATTGCTATGCCGATGACACACTTTACATGGTCATCAAACCACAGGACAGTTGGAATACAGTCTCAGAAAGTCTGGAAGCTTGTCTGACAGATATCAGTATTTGAATGAACGCCAACATGCTTAAGCTTAATCAGGAAAAGACGGAACTAATCGTCTTTTCCCCAAAGTGTCAGCAAACAATGGCTCTCCAGCTCAAGGTCGGTGCCAAAACTATTGAGACTGTTCCAGCTGTTAAAAACCTAGGGGTATACTTTGATAGTTCACTGAACATGGAGAAACAAGTGAACGCTATTGCCAAATCATGTTACTACCAGATCAGGAACATCGGCTGTATTAGGCAGTTTATAACTGCAGATGAAAGCAAGATTTTGGTGCATTCACTTGTTACCTCTCGGTTGGATTATGGTAATCCCCTGCTCTGTGGTATATCTGACAAACTAACTAGTCAACTGCAGAGGGTCCAGAACACTGCAGCACGGCTAGTTACTCGTACTCGAGAGAGATAGCACATCACACCTGTGCTTTATTCGTTGCACTGGTTACCTGTACGATACAGGTCGCAGCACAAAATTCTGGTGTACACATTCAAGGCCCTGAATGGAACAGCTCCTCAGTACCTACAGGAGCTTGTTACCCTGTATCAGCCGTCACGATCTTGTGTGTCCCAAAATCTCGTACTGTGACCTACGGAAACAGATGCTTTGGGAGGGTTTCGGCTATGTTGTGGAATAGCTTACCATCTGCTATTAGAAAGTGAAATACCCTGACCAAGAATACCACCCTTTTATTTGTTCAGTTATGTGCACCTTGCTTGCTTCAATGTATAAAAGTGATTGTAAGCCTTTGTTTTTTGTTTTCACAATTATGACCATTACTATTATCCATATGTTGTAAAGCGCTTTAGAGTAATTTTACAAATTATATAGGGTGCTATATAAATGTTGTATATTATTAGTATTATCATTTCTACGAAAAAGTGCCGATTTGTATCACATCATCAATGCTATTATTAACAAGATGTCCATGGACCTAAATGGTCGCATGAGTAGTTCTATAATTGTTGTTTGTTGCTGGGATGTTACAGTTGTGTGACCGCACAACGCACCAAAAATATCGTGCGCACACCGTGCATACATCGTTCACACACCGTCCGCACATGGTGCGCACAACTGTGCGATTTAACAATCGTTCGCCCCGTTTTGCGCTTCTCTCCGCACAACTGTGCGATTTGGTACAATTTATTGATCAATATTACGGAATGAAAATAATACGGGCATCTCGTATGCAATAATGTACACTGTATTTAATAAAACTATACATTACTATCATTTTTCATCACAATAATTAATATTATGTACAATTTTACAATGCGGGTAACACAGCATACAGTGACCGTTAGGCTGTCAAGAATGGGTTC